CTCTCTCTCTCTCTCTCTCTCTCTCTCTCTCTCTCTCTCTCTCTCTCATTTTCCTCTTCTACCAGAGCTCTCTGCAGGAGTCTAGAAAGCAGAGATTTATCGCTAAAAGCAGGAACTTCTACATCAGAGAGGGAAGGGAGGGGGAAAGGTCAAGTTAATTTACTTGGGGGGGGGAAAAAAGCAGACGGGGCGTTTTCATTTGCACAGTTCCTTGCTTTCGAGTGGTATGTGCCTTGCTAGCACGGAGGGTTCATTAGCCTGGCTTATGAGGCCTCCTCCGGAAAAAATCGCTCGCTCCGGGTGCAAACCGGACTTGGGAAAATCATAGCCTGCATCTTGTGAGGGCGAGATGAAGAGGTGATGGAAGTCAACCCACCTATTTCTCTCACCAAGAAGGGCTGACGTTATACACTACTAAGGGAAAGTTAGAAACTTAAATGCTGGGTTATAATCGTTTCTTTCTTTCTTTCTTTCCTTCTTTCTCTTTTCTTTGTTTTCTGTCTCTTTCTCTTTCTCCTTTCCTTCCTTCCTTCCTTCCTTCCTTCCTTCCTTCCTTCCTTCCTTCCTTCCTTCCTTCCTTCCTTCCTTCCTTCCTTCCTTGTCTTTGGTACTAGCAGTGATGATGTTACCTGGCTTGGCTAATGAAAGGTCTGCAAGAAAGCAACCAAGCTCAGAAAGCACCAAGGACCCCTCATGTCAACCTTGAACTACAAATTTTCCTTCTTTCTTTCTTTCTTTCTTTCTTTCTTTCTTTCTTTCTTTCTTTCTTTCTTTCTTTCTTTCTTTCTTTCGTTCTCTCTTTTTCTTTTTTCCTCTCCTTTTCTTTTTTTGGGAGGCTAACAAACAGAAAAAAAAATATATGTTCTTTTGACTCTCAGCACTCAGCTCAGAGTTTCAAAAACTATTTCTAAGAGCCTTGTGAAAATAACTCAATGTGGTTCTGGTTTTGTTAAATTCTCTGAACAGTGATATACTGACTACTAATTGTACAATCTTGGCCACTCCTTTGCCCACTTACTGACACTAAATCTCTGCGTCGCTTATTTCCACACACCCCTTTTGCTTGTTCGTTTTCACTTTTTCTTTTAAAAACTAGCAATACATCAGGATGAGAAGGAGGGGGGAAAGGAAAGGGAAGAAGAAGAAGAGGAGGAAGAGGAAGAGGAGGAGGAGGAGGAGGAGGAGGAGGGGAAGAGAAGGAGGAAGAAAAAGAAGAGGAAGAAGAAGAAGAGGAGGAGGAGGAGGAGGAAGAATAGGAAGAGGAGAAGGAAAAAGAAGAGGAGGAGGAGGAAGGAGGAAGAGGAGGAAGAGGAAGAGGAGGAGGAGGAAGAGGAAGGAGGAGGAGGGAGGAGGAAGAGGAAGAGGAAGGGGGAGGAAGAGGAAGAGGAGGAGGAAGAGAAAGAAGAAGAGAACAAGGAAGAGGAAGAATAGGAAGAGAAGGAGGAAAAAGAAGAGTAGGAGGAGGAAGAAGGAAGGAGGAAGAAGAAGAGGAAGAACAGGAGGAGGAAGAGGAGGAGGGGGAGAAAGAAGGAGAAGGAGAAGGAGAAGGAGAAGGAGAAAGAAGAAGAAGAAGAAGAAGAAGAAGAAGAAGAAGAAGAAGAAGAAGAAGAAAAAGAAGAAGAAGAAGAAGAAGAAGAAGAAGCCACAACAGCAGGAGAGGCGGCAGCCTTTGAGATCCGAGGTGGGATGGATGAAATGTTGCGACCAGCCACACTTACCACAAGCTCCTTTACTCATGACTTTAATGCGACGCTGCTGGTTGCACTGGGCTTTCTCCAGCTCACATTCGTTACTGTAGGTCGAATAATCCGAACCGCACACCGGAGCCACCACGGACGGGCAGGTGGCTTTCTTACAAACACACACGCCTTGGGAAGCGTCCGCGGGGTTCTTCTCGCAGACGGCACCGAAGCCACACAGCATCCCTCGACAAACTGTGGGCGGGAAAGAGAAAAGAGAGTTAACGCTCTGCATGGGCGGAAGGGTTTAAAAAACAGAACACCAAAACTGGGCTCAGGTTTCTAGTTCCTAGGAAGAAAAGGAGGGAAATTGCTCTGTGCAGACAAAATGGGATGCAGGAGCCTTGCACTGATATCCAGAATAGGTATCGTTGACCTCAGTGAATTCAGCCTCAGATCCAGTTCACACAACTTGGTATTTAGAACTCATTTATTTATTTGTATCCCATCATCATCATCATTCCTTGCGCGGTCAGTTAGATGTTCAGACTGGGTTTGGCATTTTTATCTACCAATCGAGTCCTTACCAAGGACCTGGGCTAGGCAAATCTGTTTGATGGTGTTACAGCTCTCGCCGCAGGATGGAAGCTGTTCCAAGCAAAGCTGCCTTCTGTAATTGACCGACGGCGAATGTGTCAATGCCACTGATGGTGTTCAAGTGGTGCTCCAGTTGTTTTGGGACTGCACCCAAGGTGCCTAGGACTATTGGCGCTACCCTTGCTTGCCTTTGCCACGATCGTTCTATTTCTAGGTCTTTGTATTTTGTTATCTTCTCCAGTTCAATTATTATTATTACTATTATTATTACGGTGGTTAATCTCTGGTGAGATTCACGGCCTTTGGGGCTGGTTGGTAGCTCAACAGCTCGAGTCCTAACCAAGGACCTAGGAACTGTTCAAGTAGCGTCGGATGATATAAGCTGTTCCAAGTAAGGTGCTTTTTTTGTAGAATCAGGGTATTCAAGTCTGATAAATTATAATGACTATTATTATTATTATTATTAATTATATTAATTATTATATTTATTATTGTTGTTGTTATTGTTATTATTATACTACACAAAAATGACAGTACACACAGCAAATGAGATAACCATGCTGGGTTTCGTATCACAAATCACTAGTCGAACACTTCCCAAGCGTTTAGGACTGTGTGATGTATCAGAGGATTATGCGAGCAGATCCCAGTATGGTGGCCTTCTGCAGCTGACCAATGGTGATCTTGTCAGCACCAATTGTTTTCAAGTGCTTGCCTAGGTCTTTAGGCACAGCACATTATTATTATTATTATTATTATTATTATTATTATTATTATTATTATTATTTATACAAATGTTACGCTTGGCTGTTTTGGGGGAACTAGTAGAAGTGGACTCTCCAAGTGAGCTAGTGTACAACTTGAAGTAATGTGTGAATCCATCACCTGGGTTCATAGAGTAATAAGGCCTAAGCCTTCTAACACAGCCTGTCTTGATAACAGTGCCTGTCTCCAAAAATCTGTGCCTCCTCACGGCCCTTTTGTCCAGAGACCAGATGAATGAATGAGGAAGGAAGGAAGGAAGGAAGGGATACATGTAATGAAGTCATAAATCTGATTTCCAAAGGAGGGAGGGAGAGAGGGCAGAGTTTGCCCAGCCTGCAGCCTCACAGATCTCCCTCCTTCCCCCCACACCCCAAAAACATGAACAATGGTACAATTCCCAGCATCCCCCTAAGGCAGGAGGCCAAGAGGTGAGGGATGCTGGGAGCTGTAGTTCAACCGTAAGGGCAGGGCCAGCTCAAATGAAAAAACTGTCATACAAACCATTTTGAAGTTGTCCTTTTTACCATAGAACCTGACCGTAATTCTATACAGGATTCCATCATATCTCTCTCTCTCTCTCTCTCCCTCCCTCCCTCCCTCCCCTTGCTTTTTTCTTTACTCCTCTCTCTCTGTTTCTCTTTCTCTTCCTCTCTCTCTCCCTTCCTCCCTCTCCCTCTCTTTCTTTCTCTCTATCTCCCTTCCTCCCTCTTTTTCTGTTTCCCCTTTTCTCTTCCTCTCTCTCCCTTCCACCCTCTCCCTCTTTCTTTTTCTTTCTCTCTCTTCCTCCCTCCCTCTCTTTTTGTTTCTCTTTTTCTCTTCCTCTCTCCCTTCCTCCCCACCTCTCTCTCCCTTCGCCTCTTTCTTTTTCTCTCTATCTGTTTCTCTTCCTCTCTCTCTCCCTCCCTCCCTCTCCCTTTCTTTTTGTTCCTTTCTCTCTTTCTTTTCCTCTCTCTCACCCTTCCTCCCTATCTCTCTCCCCCTTTCTCTCTCTCACACTTTGTGTGTGTGTGTGTGTTCAGGCTTGTTTGTTCCCTAATAACAGATGCACCATTCTCTTGATCATGTAATCAGCTAAGCTGGCATAGACTAGTTTCCCATTTACATTGCAAATGAAGGTGATGGCTGTTCTTTAAAAAAAAAAAAAATTGGAGGTTGAGGGGGTGGGTGGGAGGGAAGCCAGGTAAGGGAAACCTAAAAGTACAGACAGGCCTGACTTCTCAAAATAGCAGACAGACACTTATACCAGGGGGATCTAGCTTAGATTTTTCTCGAGTGCAGGATACCAAATTTATATTCAGCCCTGCAAAGCCCTAGGCTAGAAGCCTGTACCTGTTTGATCTTGTACTTTTTCTTGTGATGAAACCCCAGTTCCAAAACTCCGGCCTACCTCTAGCTTGTGCGTTCACACCCCAGTAGCATTTGCACACCTTTTAAAATTTGCATTCTTCCTCACCCTGTGCTGAGTCAGTGGGTTCCCAGGGTGAAGTGTTGGGAACAGAAGAACCTGCTATATAAGTCAAGCTATTTCCCCCAATTTATTTTCGTTGGGCACCGGATCACAAGGTGTTTCCCATCATCACCTCTTGAGCTCCGGTCTGAAGTATAAATAGTCCTCAATATACGACCCTAATTGAATCTGTCATGGGCATCTCTACAACTGCCTGATTTGGCTCTGCAACCCAACAAGAAAGATACAGACTTCAGTGAGTAATTAGGACTGCAGAAAATAACAATTGCTACCAATCTGCCTTCCACTGAAGACCTGTATATTGTACGAGTCAAAAAAAGAGGGTTGTGAAAATATCTACAGACCCCTCACATCCCGGACATAAACTGTTTCAACTCCTTCCCTCAAAACGACGCTCTAGAGCCCTGCACACCAGAACAACTGGACACAAGGACAGATTATTCCCCAACGCCATCACTCTGCTAAACAAATAATTCCCTCAACCCTGTCCAACTATTTACAAAGTCTGCACTACTATCGTTATTAATCTTCTCATCACTCCTTATCACCCAATCCCCTCCCACTTGTGACTGTATGACTGTAACTTTGCCGCTTGTATCCTTATGTCAATAAATATATTGACTGTTTCCTAGTATGATTTGATTGCTTATTGTACCCTATGACTGTTATTATTGTACCTTATGATTCTTGACTCTTGGCGAATGTATCTTTTCTTTTATGTACACTGAGGGCATTTGCACTTTGTGTGTCGAATCACACTTGGCCAATAAAGAACTATCCTATCCTATCCTATCCTATCCTATCCCTATCCTATCCTATCCTATCCTATCCTATCCTATCCTATCCTTTCCTTTCCTATCCTATCCTATCCTATCCTATCCTATCCTATCCTATCCTATGTACACTGAGAGCATTTGCACCAAGACAAATTCCTTGTGTGTCCAATCACTTGGCCAATAAAGAATTCTATTCTATTCTATTCTGTTATCTTTCTTCTATTCTATTCTATTCTATTCTATTCTATTCTATTCTATTCTATTCTATTCTATTCTATT